TCTCTCTCTCTCTCTCTCCCTTCTCTCTGTCTCTCCCTTTCTGTCTATCTATTGTCTGAGAAGAACAACGGTAAGACTAACAAAATGCAGTTTGTGAACCATTGTATAGTGTAGCAAGATGCCTATCGTAGGATTGGTTGAGAAAACGACTTAAAGAGTGCCAGAAACAAAGATGGGATGGTCAGAATTGCCAGGAAAAGAGGTGGACAATTGAGGGGGAAAAAACACCAATTTCGGGTGTTGGTCGTTAATCACCGATATGTAGAAACAGGAGGCAGGTGGCAGCCAAACCCACTAACCTATGTTCTTGTTCTCTGTTGTTGTAGAATTTGAAGAAAGAATGAAAAACCTAAGGATTTGGGTTCTTAACATCACTACTAACCATTAAAAAAAATTAATTTAGTATATTCATCTCAACGCAAGAGCCCTCACATATTACGTATGTTGTATTTCCTATGTGTGTTATAAATTAATTTAGATTTAGACATGAAAGTGCCTGTATGTATAATGTGTATGTACATGTATATCATAATATGTATGTTCGCTTGCATATTCAAGCTTGTGGAAGTGTGTGTGTTGATGTGTGTGTGTGGGTGGGTGTGTTATTGTGTGAGTGTATATGTGCGTATGTGTGTTTGTGTAAGTGTGTTTATGTGAGCGTGTGGGTGTGTAACAAATAAAATGCGATAGAGGAGGGGGAGATTTGGGGAGGGGGTGAGGGGAGGGTGGAGTGACAAAATGAAGAAAATGTCAATGAAATTATAGATCATGCAAGGACAAATTCAACCTGTATAAAATTGCAATTCGCAGTCCTTGCATTCCAAAGAAACAGCACCAAAGATAGACAAACGAAACACGTTCCCACGTTACATTTGACACTTCATGCAATAGGGCCACTGCGTCCGTCTTTTGTTCAGTTGTTTGGGATCTACATGTACATGCAGATGGTTCTATGGATAAAAAGTCGTTTGTTTTCGAGAAAAGTCTTTCCCGACAGTTTTCTATCAGAGGCTCCAGTCGCTCTAAATACCAGAGCATTCAGTGACAGCAAAAGGCCTAAAAAAGGGATTTTGCAAAGTAAACAAGGGCCGAGTTTTATTCATATAAGTATGATTTAAACACTTTCCGGTTACAATAACTCTGCAAAAACTCTCCGGTGCGGCCGATTCAGAGAAAATTATGGTCGTATGATAATGATTATTATCAGTTTAACATATTGATGGCCCAACTATGTTTGTATACGCCCATAGCTGGGAAAATAAAATCATATGCGCCTCTTTGAGTATGTAAACTTAAGCTCAAATATGTATCCGTTTGAATGCTTATGAATATCCTTATTCTAAAATACAAATTCAGCCTGCAACCTGCAAGCTTGAAACGCTTTAGACCCTGTTGAAAACATTGAATATTGTAGATCGCTACTCCAGCTTTAAGCTCTACCTTACAAAAGCTTATATAACACCAGGGCTAGTGTTTTAAACTTGTTCTGAAGTGCTGTCCCCAACAAGATGCTTGCGTATCCCGTGAGATCTTCAATAATTATTGGGCTGAAACGAAACATCTCCAGCAGTACGGAAAAACTTTGAGTATCCTGTACTCTAATTCTACCTTCGAATTACTCCTGTTGGTGAAGTTTTATAACGGTCCTCTGCACCCCTCACCCCCCCCCCCCCTCACTTTCCGAGAGTGACTGGCCAATTCAGATGCAATAAAAATTGAATAGGAAAGCCTGAAAGTGTATCAAAGTCGGCCTTCTGTTCAGATATACTAAGCCCGAAATTTCATATTTTTAAAACAATTGCAGTCTCTTAATCTTTGGTGTCGGTTTCCTGAGCTCAAGACCTAACAATTTCGTTGAAATTCAGATTCTAAATGTTCGGGGAAAAAAGACAAGAAAAGATGCTTTGTCGGGTTCAATTGTCAAAAGAATGAAACAGTGTTCCCCTCTTCTGAATAATGTTGCTATCTGGGCTTAGAAAATATAAACAGCTGCCGACAACATTATACATTTTCTTATTACTTGATGGTTACATCTGTCGGGAACTTGAGGTACAAAGGTTTGTCATTGCTTGTTTTGTGTTCATTTTGCCAAAACTAGTAAGTTGTCGTTTAGTACATATTATATTAACCACTCACCCCAAAGCTCCCCTCCTGTCACCCCACCTCACCCAAACCTTTCCAACCGTATCTCCTTACCTACCTCCAAAAGAGACAATCTTCATGCCGCGCTTACCAAAAAATACTTCCGTTCTAGACTGAGATTTCTTCCAGCTCGTATACCTTGATGACTTCCGCTAGACGAAAATTGTACCCTACGTGTCACCTCTCGCATCGGTGATGAGTTGAAAGTAAACGTTGAGAACAGAATGTGGACTTCTACGTGCCAAAGTGTTTGAATCTAAAATGCGGAGCAATTAGCAATGCCCTTAGGTCAATAGGATAGAATCCTACGTAAAATCCAAAGAAATCTGGCTCTCATTTAAGTTTTTCCTGTTCTTTGAAACCTTAAACCTTTAAGACAACTAACTTTACACTTTAGGCAGAACCGTCAGATTCGACATTTCCATAGCGGGTAAACAGTCAGAGATGCTCTTCCCTCTCTCCCTCTGAGATGTTGTTTGTTTTTGGTAACGTTAAGGTGGCAAGTAGAGCGGAGAGGAAAAGGTAAATGGCTCTGAATAGATGCGTTCACACTTCAAAGAGATTGACAAGTAGCCTAAGGAATTCTGAATACTGGTATCTATTACATAGAAATATCTCGTTTGGGTTGATAGTGTCGTGTGACGCGACAGCCACAGGGAAACGCGCTGCATTCCGTTCATTGCTTAGAGTCTTGCTGCAGTATCAAAAATTGAAGTTAGTCTTGGCGCTTGAATCACCTCACCACCACCCGTTCTCATCCAAACACACACACACACACACACACACACACACACACACACACACACACACACACACACACACACAAACACTCAAACTAACACACACATACACACCTATACAAGCACACTCATACACACACACACACACACACACACACACACAAACGCTCAAACTAACACACACATACACACACATACGCACGCATACATGCACACTCATACACACATACACACACATACACACACACTCATACGTACACACACAACACACACACACACACACACACACACACACACACACAGACACACACACACACACACACTAACTAAAAGATAACTCTGAATGGATAAGTGAAGAAGATATGTAGTTCAAATAGGTTCCGCAACTCAGAAGGAAGCCACAACTCTTAAATGAAAAGAATGACCCAAATATTCGTCTCGTCTTAGATGGGCGTTATCATATTTTTGTACTGCTTACTGTTGCGTTTCTTCTTTTCAGCATCACTCCTCCGTAACTACGAAAAATTGTGTTGATGCTCAACTGGTCTAGTCTTGAAACCTCAGGTAATGATGGATGGTGTTAATAGTAACTCAACGTATTGAGTGCGATTTGATGCCAGAAAATGACTGATCATTCAAGCTTACTGGAACATGCTCGTCCCTTCTCGAGATGAATACTGGACTGCGATGGCGGTGGAAGTAAGGGGGGAGGGGGGTCCTGTTACCACCAATCTTGACTATACTCTTCCATTAGCTCGGGCACCTACCTTCAAATAAAAGTCTATATAGGCCAGTGTCTGTCTTTCAGAGTGTTTGTGCTTTTACTTTTGTTTCTCGTCTCCGTCGAGTAGACCATTAGTACAACAGCTGATGAACTAGTTGCTTACTCTCTTTCTTTTTACATTTAGACATATTTGATCATGATAAAAGCAAACTAGCCGAAGGAAAAAATATCGTACGGGAAACGGGCGCACAGAAAAGAAACAGTTATTTTTTATTCGAACCTCGTCTGATTCCTCTCTTTACGAGGAACAGCCGATTTAGACTTAAGGAAACGGACCAGAGCGTTGATGAGAATCATACCCATTTGCCTTTCCCAGATATCATGATGGGAAATTATTATGCAACGTGGTCAATAAAATGGCAAAGAGAAAAACAGTTTGCGGTTTTTTTTACGGGAAGAGCACCTGTGTTTTCATTTTTAAAATCATAAAAATGAAACGATTCCACTTTCATTTTCAACTTTGGATTTTTTTAAAGAACACATGTACACGTTCATGAGACTGCGTGCTTGCATAAAACAGTCTTGTCCGTAATGTCACAGTTGTTGTGGCGTCGGTGGCCTAGTGGTTAGGCTCTCGGACTCGCAACCGTAAGGTCGTGGGTTCGTGTCCCGTCAATGGCCCGACTTGTGTCCTTGGGAAAGGCACTTTACACGAATTTTCCTCACTTCACCAAGGTGGGAATGGGTACCCGGCTATAGACAGCGAAAGATCTTGTCAGTTTGTT